CATTTCCCGGAGCTGATCCCACGTAACGCAGCCCGCTGCGCATCAGAATAAGATCTCGTAGTCAACCTCCACCAATCCTTCGCTCCGAGCCTCAAAAGGTTCAGAGCACACCTCACCCTCTGATCTGCAGGGCATGAACACGTGAAGAAACAACCCTCCACGTCTGACAACCATATCATAGCAATGATAGGATCCTGAACTCCATCAAAGGTAGGGGGCTTCGTATTATCGAAGTCCCGGTACTGGAAACCTCGACCAGATCCTCCCCCTGCCGCGGCAGCCGCCTCCGCAAGAGATGCATAACGCTCATCAAAGTACTCAACCATGGCGGTCTTGATCGACCCAAACATCTCCGGTAACTCAGCCTGGAACATAGCAGCAACCTCATCATGCAGGATCTCATGAATCCTGGCATCCAACTCATCCGTACTCATCTGACCAATGACCTCGGGTGGTACTGGTCCATCCTGACCACCCTCTCCTGATCCCGATCCCGAACCGGATCCTGCCCCGAAACGTCTCGTAATCGCCATACTGCAATACACCAACAAGACCCTTAGACACATTACATGCCCATCCGGAGAGCTACCTCATAACCGACACCCTAGAGAGTTGTGACTTCCATGATACGCGTATGGGTCCTGTGCTTTCAGTAGTACGGGCCCATACTACCTTCCACACCTACCCATATTTGTCTCAAGTGTCGTCACAACACCCTAACCATATATACACGCACGACGAGCGCTCAATCCTCGCTCCTAGAGGAAAGCTGCATATCTCATATAAGGAAACCCTAGGCTAGTAGGCATCACATAATCAGGCCACTCTATCATGTAATTCCTGAAGATCCCTAGCCTAGTACTAGCATGTTGTTCTAACATATCACATAATCAAATAACTTGTATGGTATTTTGGGGTCTACTTATTGGCTCTGGCTGATCGTACCCTCTGCATCCTCCTTTACTTATTTCGGAAATCTTTTGAAAACCATTTTGAAAATCTCTCCTTGATTTGAGACTGGATTCACACGAATGTTCCTCCAATTCACTCAAACCAAGGCTCTGATACCAACTTGTAACACCCATAAAATTTGCACCGATTTAAAACATTTTAATTCATTCAAAAGCCATTAAGTTATTACAACTTGTTTTAAAAAGAGTTTAAACATCAGAGTATCCCCAGAACCAAATCACAAAATCATGAAGTATGAGGAGCGGTACGATCACGCCTTCGCCTTGCCACGATCTCCTGAAGTACCTGAAACATATCACTACAATTGTAAGCCCGAAAGCTTAGTGAGTTACCCCCAAAATGCCAACCACATATAACCATACTCATATCATATCACAATACAGAACAGTCATGCATATCGAGTCTACAGTGCGACTGGTCCGCCCGCACCGGGCCTTCAGTCCACCTGGTCCACTCTCCGAGTCTAGCCACGTATACCGAGTCTACAGTGTGATTGGTCCGCCCACACCGGGCCTTCAATCTACCTGGTCCACTCTCTGGGTCTACAGTATGACTGGTCCGCCCGCACCGGGCCTTCAGTCGGCCTGGTCCACTCTCCGAGCCTCGGCACGTCTGGACCGCCCTCTCAGGGCCTTCAGCCTATCCGGACCGCTCGCTGGGCCTTCGGTCTTTCCGGTCCGCCCTGGGTATGTTGGCCTACAGCACAAAGCAGGACCCGCCTCAACCCAACCCCCAGTCAAACAACCATGTGCACATAAACAGTTAACCACATAACAATCCTCAGTCAAACAAACGTATCTATCAGATCATGCAGCATAACAACATGCTAACCAGGATACCGACCTAACCGGTCACTAACATAGCATTGCCCTACATACCAGGACACCGACCTTGACCAGGTCACTAACATAACACCATCCTAAAACCAGGATGCAGATCTAGCAACTCAAAACATATCAAACAAATACCCGGATTCCCATCCGATAAAGGGCCGGCCTTGGTGCCGTAGACCCTGCTGATATAGTGAGGATAACTCACCTGAAACGAAGAACCGAACCACGAAAACACTCTATCGAAGCACTGCTCCAAACCCCAACACCTATTGCCATCAATGGACCATTGACAAAAATAACCAATTACCATAACACCCATGAAGGTCAAAGTCAAAGTCCAGGCCAAAGTCAAACTTCATGACTGACTCTACTCGCCGAGTCAACCCGTTGACTCGTCGAGTCCTTATGCTCTGAAAACTCTTAGAACATGACTCAACTCGCCGAGTCACCCCAAGACTCGTCGAGTCCAACGATCTCCGAGTCTCATCCTGCTCGACTCACCGAGTCACCTCCCGACTCACTACTTCAAGGTTTAACCAGAAGAGATTGGGGTTCTGCGACCAGACTCGCCGAGTCCAAGAACAGACTCGCCGAGTCCAAGGCAATCTTCAACAGACTCGCCGAGTTGTTCTTCCAACTTGCCGAGTTCATGCACATATTCATACAACTCGTCGAGTACACCCATGTGACTCGCCGAGTCTCTCCAGTTCTCAATCCATACAGTGGCTTTTCGAACCATGCAGGGTCTCCAATCCATATATCCACTCTTCTACAGTCTAACCCTCACATAAAGTGGCAAACTTTACGTGAAACCAAAGAGATATAGGCCCAAAACACTCTAGGGCTAGGGTTAAGGACTAGGGGTCTTCACCAACAACTCTTAGACAGGAGCTTTATGACATTTTGGATCATCACAAGCCTAGATCTGAGGTAGCAACCTCAGATCTAAGCCTCTAACTCGAAATAGCTCTCAATCATACCAAAAATGCCCCAAATCTCAAATGATAAAAGATCCAGATGCAAAAGAGCCCAAGCAACAGATTATTACCTCCAATATAAGCTCCAACTGAAGTAGATCCCGGATCTACACCACTCCTTGCAGCAAGCCTCTTGATCTTCAAGCCCCTTTCCAAGATTTCCTCCTCCAAAGCTCCATTCTCTCTATTAATGGAGGCTCACTCGATTTTAGGGTTTCTGGATCTCAAAAGGGTAGTAAAGAGGCTAAGGGTGGGTTATAATGTTCTTTATATAGGGCACAACCCCCGGGATTAGGGTTTTCTCTCTACAGCACCAACTCGTCGAGTCCAAGCCGCCGACTCGGCGAGTTGACCACTTAAACCGCGACAGAATCCCGCTCCGACTCGGCGAGTAAGCAGACCTACTCGTCGAGTCCCTTCTTTTATTTACAGTTTTGGCCCTTCATTGAACTTCTGAAATTTCGGGATGTTACAAGGTGATAAGGGAGGCTACAAGTGAGGCTTAAGGCCTTTAAATAGGGTACAAACCCTGAAAATTAGGATTTCCCTTTTCAGCTCCTACTTGTCGAGTTGGTGCCTTCTAACTCGTCGAGTATGTCCTTCATCCTACGTCCAATATGATTTCTACTCGACGAGTTGGAGCTCCCCAACTCGTCGAGTCCCAGCCCAAAACTCTAAAAATGTTGAAAACTGACAAATACCTAAACCAAGCGTTACAATTAATTCAAGTGTTTATTTGTTATTGGTATAACCATATATTACTTGTTATTGGTGTGACCCTATATGGTTATATCTTATTAGGAATATCGTTTTATGATCATTCTTGAGCATATAGAACCAACAAATTAAACCCTCATTTGGTACATTACATGTTTCCTTGTAACCGTATTTGGTCCATGAAGCTGCAATCCCTACTAAATGTCTTCATCCTCTTTTTGTCAATATAGCCACCCACTTGTAAGCAGTTCAGACTATATATGAAGGTACAAATGCGGATATGTAGCGATGGGAAGAACCTCGAGGAGTTATGACAACCCTACACATCGTTTCTTGAACTATACACACTCCATGGTGAGCTTCTATTCCTTGTTCTACTATCTATAGCAACATTTAAGTTGTATTAGTGGCGATTAAAAAAAGTTCGGAGGAGGAGAGGGGGGGGGGGGGGGAGATATCCTAGATTGTTTTTGGGGCAATAGCGGCGACGATGCCTATTGCGGCCATAGAGTCAAGAACAAGGTTCTAAATAGCATGAGACATGGTTTGGCGGCAAAGTCAACCCCAAGTCATGACGAGCCTTAGCGAGCTATGTCGTTTTTCAAGGCGTGACAATTTTATATACATTAAAAAAGAGAAATCATATAATTATATAATTATATCAAATATATCAAGTTTTTAGAAGTGTTATATTATGATTTAATATAAAAACGTTAACAAACTCAAATTGTTTTAGGCCCGATGAGAAAAAAACAAAAAAAACCATGCCTTGAAAAAAAACTCAAGCCATAACGCGATACGGCGCGCCTTGACACGTTATTTGGCCGTCACGCTTAACAAACCTGTCTTTGATGATTTCGTAAAGGCTACACCACGTCTCGTGTCATGGCACACCTTAGTGCGCCTTTTAGGACCATGGTCAATAGTGACGACACAATATAGGGGACAGAGGCAATAGTGACGACTCTAAACACGTACAACTTGGTGTCCCTAGTCTTCCTAATGTCGTTCCTATAGGGTCGCCGCTGTTTCCTAAATTTTTGTAGTGTTAGTTGATAATTTGGCTTTTTTTACTAAGATGTTGTTTGTTTTGGAAGTGGTTAAATGTCTTTTGTCTTTTTTCATGTTTGCGGAAGAAGACATGCACTTGCGAAACGTCTACTCGCTAGAAGGGAAAAGTGCTCAAAAAGTACTTTTGTAGAAAAACAAACGAGACCTAAATGTCGTTAAGTTTGATGGTAAATTTTACTACTATTAATCTATTATAAAATATATAAAAATATGTATTTTATTTATTTTAAAGTATTGGATAATATTTGAGTGATCGACAATTTTTAAATATATTTGTTTTTGTCAATATAAAAAATAATTGAAAAAGCTCACATCACGAATAAATTTCTTAGAAATATCGTTCAGTGGGGTATCATTTTGCATTATTGGAATTTTTTCTTTTTGACTATAACGAGAATTGTTTCTGGCATTATATATTCATATAGGTAGACCAAGACTTCATTAGTTCATCTCCATCCTCCCAGATCTAATTGTAATGGCTTCCTGTTCTTCCTCTAGTATTACAACTTCCGCTAATGCTTATAGATATGACGTTTTTCTAAGTTTTAGAGGCGAAGATACCCGTGATTCTTTTACAGATCATCTTTATGACGCATTAAAGCGAGCAGGAATCGGTACTTTTAGGGATAACGAAGAAATCAACAGAGGTGAGCGCTTGAAGCCAGAGATTGAGAGTGCGGTTAAGGAATCTAGGGCTTCCATAGTTGTATTGTCAAAAAACTATGCAACGTCCACTTGGTGCCTAGATGAGCTTCTGTTGATCCTCGCACAAAGAAGGGAGTGCAGTCATTTCGTTCTACCAGTTTTTTATCACATTGATCCTTCTGACGTGAGGAATCAAAATGAAACCTTCGCAATCGAAGTCCAAGCCTCTTCAAGGTGGACAAATCACAATGTGAACCTGTGGAAGAAAGCTCTTAAGGAAGTTGCTGATTTGGCCGGCATGGTTTTATGCGGGTATGCTTGTTTATTTCTTCTTAATTTAATCTTTACTGAAATCCATTTTTAACTGTGGTAACTTTATCCAATAATTTTGACTAACCTCTACCAAATTTTGGTCTCTATTTCAAATTCATGATTCGGTCAATTTTTTGTGGATAAATATGGCAATAACTTTTATCTTTTAAGGGATCTTTGTTTCATAGAGAAGTTCGGAGGAGTTGGTGAAAATGTAATTCAATAAAAAGTAAATGAAAAAAATGTAATCACGAACAAGCAGGGGAAGGATAATTTTTTTTTTTTTTATTAATTTAATTAAGTATTAGGAGAAAGCAAAAAAATATACTCTGATGATTTCCTCCTATTATGTCAACAAGTCAACAGCTTAATGCTTTTTCTAGATACACCATCTACAAGTTTGACTCTTGACCAGAGCTACAAAGTAAGTTTTTGGTTCTTTCTCGAAAAGAATGTAGTCCTCCAATTTACTGTATACTAGCCTTTAACGAAGTCTAAATAAGAGATTTGAATTACATAATCTTGTTTAATCTATCAATATTTGTTTTAGTTTGATTTAATTTGCATTTAAAATTTATTTGTTAATTAAAATAAGTGAAAAAATCTTCTACGCTATTGTAAATACTTTGATCAGGTTTTACTGAACTTTGATCTTCTTTGTGGAACTTTAAAGGGAATCAAATTTAAAAATGTATCAGTAGTATAATCCCATGAACTTGTTCATTTTCTTTTGTTGTTCCAGGCCTGAAACAGAGTTTCTAAAGGAAATTGTTAGCACTATATACAATAAACTGGACCGCAAAGAAGTCCATCTTCCAAACAACTTAACAGGGATGGCCACTCGATACAAGGACATCCATTCCTGGTTAAATGGATCCGATGCAGAATTTTTGGCAATTTGTGGCATGGGAGGAAGCGGGAAGACGACGTTGGCCCGGTATATAGTGTACTCAAATTGCCAAAATTTTGAAAGCATTAGCATTGTCGAAGACATTGGAAGTAGATGTAAAGAACCACATGATTTGCTTCAGATACAAGAAAAACTTTTTGCAGATATTTCAGGCGGAAAGAAGAGAAAAATACCCAGTGTTTGTCAAGGTACATTCAAGATTGAAGAGGCCTTACAAGTGAAGAAGGCGCTTATTGTTCTTGATGACATTGTTGAACCGAGCCAGTTGGTAGCTTTACTTGGATGCGGTGATATTAACACACAAAGTAAGATTATTATAACAACTAGGGAAAATGGTATAGGTAAATGGTTTGAGTCCAGATCTTGGAAGTGTCAAGAGTACCAAATGAAATTACTAGATGATGATGAATCATTAGAGCTTTTAAGTCGACATGCCTTTGGAGTTAAAACTCTGATGGAAGGTTATGAGGAGCTTGCAAAGCAGGTGTTGCAGTATTGTGAAGGAAATCCGTTGGCTCTTGAGGTGTTGGGTTCCTCTCTAGCACAGGATAATAGTATCCTATTTTGGAAAAGTACATTGAGCTTATTGGGAAGGGATATTGATGTTGGAATTCAACGTGTACTTATCAGGAGCTTCAACTCTTTGCCACATGAATCTAACAAAGAGTTGTTTTTGCATATTGCTTGTTTCTTTGTTGGCAAAGACATAGATTATGTGGTAAAGATATTGGAGCATGATTACTCTGCAGTATCGGGGATCAAAATATTAATCAACCGATGCCTTCTGTCTGTTTCTCCAAACAAAAAACTAATGATGCACCCATTGCTTCAAGAGATGGGGAGAACAATAGTCCATCAAGAATCACCCAAAGATCCTGCAAAACGTAGTAGAGTCTGGTTTAATAAGGATTCTTATGATGTTCTGCGAAAAGGAAAGGTGAGAAGCTTCCTATACATGTGTATGTTGAAGCTTATCTTCCCTTGAGCACCCTCACGTTTCATCTAAAATTCTACAGTTTTGACCTTTTTTCTGTTTAGGGTTCAAAAACAATGGAAGGTCTATCACTTGACATGCAAATGTTAAAGGAAGAAAAGTATGCATTAAAGGTAATTAATACACAAGTAAAAACTAATGTCTGTTCTTACATGTAATGAATGCAGATTTTTTTAGCGGATCATAATTGTTGGATATCTTTCTTTTAATGTATCCATGGGTACTCTGATGTTGTTAACTCTTAGAATAAAACTAAGTAAAGGTACAATGCATTATATGGGATGTTTGATCAGGGCCCGCCCTAGGGGAGTTCAAGATGTTCGACCGAACAGGGCCCCGGAAAAAAATAGGGCCTGAAAATCATCCTATTAACTAAATAAATATATATTATATATAATGTTATTTATGTTTTTTTAACATAAGTGTTCTAGTGCAGTTGGTTATGGGCGCAACTCTTGAATGTTTATACACCAGTGTTTGATTCTTCCCCCTAACGCGCCCATGAGTTTTTATTTGTTTTTCTTTTTTTCTATGAGTAATTTATATTATACAAATTAAGTAGAGTTTTTTTTTTTTTTTTTTTTTTTCTTTCCATGAGTAATTTCTATTATATAAATTACGTAGACCACATTAAGAAACGATCCTATTTTAGTTTAGTTGGTGAGGGTGCAACGGTTTTTACTAATCCACCTTAGTTTGATTCCAATACAGGCCCATTTTTTTAATATGTTTTGCTACTTTAATATATTTAGGAATTTTTTATATAAACCTAATTTTAATATACATTTTTTATATAAACCTAATTTTAATATATTTAGGAATTTTTTATATGAAGACTAATGACATGGAAAAAGACTTTCAGTTCACATCTTATGCCACAGACATGGAAAAAGACTGAAGACATTTACCTCTTCTAAAACAAACACCACCTTAGCCATAGCTATATACATGCTTTGTTAACAACCACCTAATTACAAAAGGACAATTTCTGGAAATATTTCTATGTATTGGGTCTGGTTAGACCCACACAAATAACTTCTTTGGATTCGGCTTTGACACTAGTCTAAGATCTAGTGAACAGGATCTCTGGATTTGGGGGTGTGTGGGCATGGGCACGCATGTGTGTATGTATAAGATCTAGTGAAAAAGAGTATCCATTGCTGATTTTTTCCCTGCAATGAATGTTTACTCCAGATCTAAATCACCCCTTTTCTAGATTGCTCAAGGTCCCCAATTTACTGACAATATGTCTCATTTCCAGTTCAATATTAGTAATTCATTCAGAACCCCAATTTGCACACAACCATTTACTACATGGAGATTCTCGGTTGGTACTTAAGAAATAGAATCCTAATATGTAGGGAATGTTTGGTGGATATATTTCTGCTTACTATACCTCTCAATGCTACATTTGCAGTCATCAAATCTCAAGACAGATGCACTTCAAAATATGGATAAACTTAAATTACTACAGCTAAATTTTGTGCAACTCAGCGGGTCGTATGTGAATATTTCAGAAGATATAAGATGGCTATGTTGGCTTGGATTCCATTTAAGAACCATACCTTCTGATTTATTCATGGGGAACTTGGTGGCCTTAGATATGAGCTATAGCCTCTTGGAAGTATTTGAACCGCCCATGGTAGGCAATTCTATATCCTCTTTATGTTTCTTATCTAATTGGCTTCTCAATTTATAGTGGGCTTTATGCATACATCGAGTGATACATAAATCTTGTTACTTTTGCAACAGGGTCTTCAATCCCTGCAGATTCTAAATCTTAAAGACTCACACAAACTAATCGAAATCCACAACATGTCCCGGATCCCTCATCTTGAGACTTTAATTCTCTGGAACTGTCAAAGTCTGGTTCGTGCTTGTGATTCCATTGGAGACTTGACAGGTCTTGCACTGCTGAACATGACAGGGTGTAAAAAACTGCAAACACATCTGTTTGTAGGGGTAGAAGCTTCTACTTCTGGTGGAGAAGTTTCTAAAAAGCCGACCTTTTCCTTCCCACTTTCATTACATCGGTTATTCCTCAAGGACTGCAATCTTGAGTGTACCGAATCTTTTCCTCTGACTTTCAGTGTTCAAATATCTTTGCAGTACTTGAATTTAGGCAATAGTTTATTTGAGTTTCTGCCTTGTTATGATCATCTTAAAAATCTTCGGGTCCTTGACTTGAGTTTATGTTCAAGACTTAAATGGCTTCTGTGTCTTCCAAGTACACTTGCAGAATTGTATGTATACTACTGTAAGTCACTGGAGAAAATAAGTTTCCAATCACATCGATTCACATTGCAAGAGTTTGGCTATGAAGGCTGTATAAGTTTGTGTGAAATCGAAGGCTTTATCAAATTGGTGCCTGTAGCCAAACTTGAAGAAAATGATTTGGGACACATGAAGTGGCTAAAAGAATATCAAAATCATGAGATGTGCCTTGTTGGTGATGACGAGCTCACCATAGGGAGGAGTTTTTCTCTTCAGGTTTGTTGTTTTTTATTCAAGCACACACAGCACATCGACTTACTGATTATATGTGACTGAATTCTAGTGCTTGTGTGTTACAGATGTTGTATGAATTCGATATAATGAGCACATCTATGCCAGACATAAAGGATCCAAACATGACGTCTGGGTATGTATCACAAGAATCGTATTTGTCCTTTGAGGTGCCTTCGTGTCCCATGAATAGGAAGCTGAAAGGACTTGATGTAACTTTCAGTTATACAATATCAGGTGATTATTGGTCATGGTTTTGTAAAATCAGTACGAGCAATGGTGTTGATTTGTTGTACAACCCAAAAGTCTTCGGAAAGCCTGAATTTGGTAAAGTTGGTATATGGTTAAGCTATTGGCCAATTGGAAACACATTGGACATTGGAGATATAGTTAATGTTTCTATCGTTGTGATAAGTGGATTGGAAGTACACGAATGTGGTGTGAGCCTTGTCTACGCTGATGATAACGTAGCTGAGGAAATCCTTGGAAAATAAAATGGGAGATTTTTCTGAATTTGAACTAAGCACAGGAGCTTATTATCTTTGTCGCCAAGATTTCTTTGAGTCAGTGGAAGTTGGCAGACCAAGTCCTGATTGGTTCAGAATCCTTGTTGGTGACACCATTGACTATACAGGTATGTCCCTCTTGTGAAACTAATTATGGGAAATTGTAATTAGATTTATACTACATATAGAGAAAGTTCATGTTATGAGACATTGTTACAGAGGTACGTGGATGGAGAAAGACAGGTCGACCAAAGCAGATGAATCCATCATTTACAGAGTTGCAAACTGTTAGATGCATCATCCATGGTCCTGAATTGGTAAATTTGTTTTCTAGTACTTTATTACGATAAATTTTCATTGCTGTTGATTATTTGGTTATAGTAGGTGTAATAATTATTTGGGTTTTGCTGATCTGGCTCTGGTGTTTATGAAAAAAAAATAGGAGGAAATTTACAAGATCCCAGAGATGTCAAAATCATCTTTTGGAGATAAACCTTTGGAGTCCACATCAAGCATGCTTGGGGAGACGATGAAATCTGCCACATCATCTACATTTAGAGACACAACAATCCAGGTTCCATCTAACCCCAAGATGGAAATACTTGAAGAAGAGAATCTAATCGCTGCTGCCAATCTTATTCTCATGGCACTGGATTCCAACAAGGAAATCACAAATTCAACAAGGAAAATCTTGGTCGATCTACGCACCCGAATGATTCCATGCCAAATATCGTTGTAACTGAAGATGAACATACCGAAGAATATGAAGAACTCAGTGACATCAAAGAACAAATCAATTTAATTCAAAAGAAGATCATGAGTTGGGAACGTGATGAATTCAAGATATGGGATTCTGATCCCGAACAAGCTAAAGAGTATTTTAAAGCAGTCGATGAAGCACGAAGATTATCAGAGGTCTTGGAGAGTTTGAATTTGACAAAAGACGTTAACACTCTATTGAGAAACGTTAATACTCTTATCCAAACATCAATGGCGAGGATCGAAGAGAAATTCCGCCATATCCTTTTTCATAATCGTCAAAACTTTGAGCCAGACCATTCTGAACAATTTTCTTTCCTTTTCAGTGAAGATGATAGTGTAGACGAGAATTCCATGCTTTCATTCGGGGACAGCACCATAAGCCATGGAGCTGAAGTTTTTATAATGGATTTAATCCATCCGCTGGCGATTGTGGACCTGAAAGGAATTGCTAATTTCATGTTTGATTCCAATTACGGTTGGGAATGTTCTCAAACATTCATTAGCGTCCGAAAAGACTCATTAGATGATTGTTTATTTTCTCTCGAAATCGAAAAAATAAGCATCGAAGATGTTATAAAAATGGAATGGATTGGGTTAAACTCCAAGATTAGAAGATGGATCAAGGCAATTAAGATGTTCGTTAGGGAGTACCTCGCTAGTGAGAAGCTTTTATGCGAGCAGATATTCGGGCAGAGAGAGTCGGTCAGTTCGATGTGTTTTACTGAGTCCTCAGAAGCTTCGATGTTGCGGCTTTTGAACTTTGCAGAAGCAATCACGATCAGGCCCCACCAACCGGAAAAACTTATTAGAATTCTTGAGATGTATGAAGTTTTATCGGATCTTATGCCGGATATTGAAAGTTTGTACCCCGATGAAAACGGATTTTACATTAGATCAAATTACCACCACGTTTTGACAGAGGTGGGCGATTGTGTAAAGGCAACGTTTATCGAATTCAAGAACAAAGTAGGGGCTAATTCGTCAAATATCGCGTTTCCCGGTGGTGGTATCCACCATCTCACACGCTACGTGATGAATTACATCATTGTCCTAACCGATTTCAGCGACTCGTTAAATTTGTGTCTGAAAGACCACCAAGGCAATGAGGGTCCTTCATCTTCACCAGGCCAGGGAGACGATTCAATCAATGGAAACTCATCTTTATCTCCAATGGCGTTGCATTTCCAATCGTTAATGTCAATTCTAGAATCCAAACTTGAGGAAGAGTCAAAATTATACAAAGATGAAGCACTGGGCCATCTTTTTATGATGAACAACATCAGTTACATGGCAGAAAAAGTGAAAAATTCAAAAATGAGAAACATTGTTGGAGACGATTGGATTCGGAATCAGAATCGGAAATTTCAGCAATATGCGTTGAGTTATGAACGGGACACCTGGCAATCAGTTTTGAATTTGCTTCGAGAAGATAGTCTACATAGTTCTGGAAGCTCAAAAACAACCTCGAAGATTGTGCTTAGGGAAAGGTTGCAGGCGTTTTATACTGCTTTTGAAGATATTTACAGGAATCAAACGGGATGGTCGGTTCCAAATAGTCAACTTTGTGAGGATTTGAGAATCTCGATCTCGGTTAAGGTGATTCAAGCTTTTCGGACTTTTGTTGGTAGATATGCCAATATAATTAGTGAAAAATATATCAAGTATACTGCTGATGATCTTGAGAAATATATTTTGGATCTGTTTGACGGAGCTCCGAGATCTTTGCAGAGCTTCGGTAAAAGGTTACGTCACTAGTTTTTTTAGTGAGTAGATAGAGCCCAGTCATTGGAGATGAAAGTTGAGTTTTCATTGATCATACGAAATTGGTCACACTTTTTACATTAACCTTTGGATCATTCCATGTTTCAATATTATATCAGTTGTTTTAAATGGTAAGCCATTGAGATAATGTTTCATGACAAACTACTAGACAACTTCATGGTTGATTAGAATTGGTATATGTTAAACTAAACTAATATTGTATGTTGTGCAAAATAAAACTATATTGTTATATTTTTTACAAATACATGTTGAAAAAAATAATAAGATATTAACTATAAAATAATATCTTCTATAATTTCTTAACCACTCACTTTTTTTATAAAAAAATCAATTATTTCGTTAATAATTTTTATATTATTTAGAAAATCAAAGAAATACCCCAATCATACCCCCACCCCAACCATATAATATATGAGAAATTAAATATCCTCCTACTTTTTGTTCCTACATATCCTCCTACCCAATGAAATGATAACATGTGTAACATTTAATGTTCATTTAATGAAATTTAATGATATTTTATGATACTAATATGACACATGTCAACATTTAAATGGGTAGAAGGATTGGTAGGATTAAAAGGTAGGATGATATTTAATTTCTCATAATATATTTATCACTTTTCATAATATTACGACTCATTTGAAGCTGCTCAACCAAGACTGCCGGACCATCGCCGGCCGTCACCCAACCGCCACCGGCCGTCGTCGGACCGTCACCGCATCGAATCTTCGTTAAATGCCGTCCTGAACGATTTCTAATTGTCTATTCTCTTCCTGAACCAGCTCCCCCTTCCTCTCATTTTCCTCCACCTGAAAAGTACCTCGTCGGAAACTACCTTGTCGGAAATCACCCTCATTCTCGTTTCCTTTTCGATCTCGTGTTTATCATCGGATCTGATTTCGCCTATTACGGATCTGAATCAGAAGGCAACCAGGTCTGGTTTCGCCCGTTACGAATCCAAAGTAGAAGGCAACCAGATCTGGTTTCACCGGCTACCGCCGTCGCGATGTAGAGGTTCTCGATCTGCTTTCACCAGCCACAGTTGAACAGTTGCTTTCACCAGCCACAGTTGAACTGGGATTTGTACCTCTTGTTAGGAGCTTAGAAAAAAATGTCTATGAAGAAGAAGCTCTTCTCCTGAGGTAGAAGATGAAGGTGAGACAAGGAAGGACGGCAACTAAACGGCGCCATTGAAGAACAAGCCCCTGCTCCTGTCTGCCGGAAAATATCGCTAATTCTTCTATCGGAATTGTAATCTCTTTCTTTCTCTCTCCTTTTTACCCTCTTTTTCCCTCACGACTCACTTGTTAAGTAATAATTCTAAATAGTTAAAAGACTTATCAGTTGGATAAAAGTAAATGACTGACATCGTTTTTGCTATGTACCGCACGTTATCTTATTCAATTTTATGTTATAAATAAAAGTACGAGTTTTTATTTTATTATGATAATAAAAGGCATCTAGCAAGTTTCCTTCAAGGATAAATTTATTTAGTAGAAATTATATTCCACCCGTCCCAAAATTATTGTCCACAGACAAAAAACACACAGATTAAGGAAACATTAATTATCATTAACTTTATTCAATAAAATGACAGTTTTGTCCTTTTGAAAGTGATGTTCTTAGAATTCGTATTTTTCTTGGCGAAGATATATCATGGTAAGGCCATACCATGCGTTATAATGTCTTCCATCGACTTGAAGGGCGTTTTGGTAACTTTTTTATTCCATTCTCAAAGTCCTCCGATGCCACATATCTGTAAACAAAGATAAATCAAAAAAGTGATGTAAGGGTGCATTTGTAAATTGTACATGGAACAGGAGTCACAGGACAAGCTTTTATGGATATTTTTTATAATGAGGGTAAGGGCATTTTCGGCTTTTGCACAAACGGGACATTGAGTTTAATTTTTTTTCGTTATGTCGTTGGCTGAATGGATAGTGTGATGTTTGTCTGGATAATGTGTTGTATACGTAAGGTCTGTTTCTTGTTTAGAATGAATATAAAGCGTATGAACGAGACTAAATGACCATTTTACCCCTACTATCCAAAAAAACAAATTTCAAAATTTGAAAAATAAAAAAAAAAGCAAAAAAATCATACTCATGACCACAAAGGGTGTGAGCATATGCAAATCTTGAATTCAGTTGTACTGCACGTTGAAAGTTCTTAAGAGCAGTTTCATGGTCTTTTTGCATACTAAAGCAATTTCCCATTGCACACCTGTCACATTTATATTTAAAAAAAAAAGTAAATAAAATATAAAAAATATGTCCTTATAGAAGAGATAACTCAACCACTTATATTTTTTTAAAAAAAATGGTTACCATGATTGAGGGGCTAAGCGATCCGTTGATATTAGCTCTTGTGCCAAATTACTCAACCTCATCAGGTGCTACAACATACGAGACCAAAAGATTATGTAAAATTACCATTTTGCCCTCTGGGGGTTTAGTTATAGTGTTATAATACCAATGAGAACTTACATATAAAACAGTAGAATAAATATCCATTCCTTCTAAGCTATAAGGAGAAGCCAATCTGGCATTGCTAAAGGCACGCTCAGCTTCTAGATAATCAACCAATTCAAAATGAGCTTTTCCCACCTGTGGTTAAAATTACCAAAATATCCCCCAAAGTGAGATTTCCATTAATATCAACTTAAAATATATTTACAGAAAAAAAAAACATGGAACAAAATACCAGATATTCATTAATTCTAAATTTTATAAAAGGATGCTTCTATATATATATATATATATATATATATATATATATATATATATATATATATATATACCTGAGAGAGAACCCAGCCTGTGTTATATTGCTTATGAGGAAGTTGAAGAAACACATCATCAAGTGCATCCTGTTTCACAAAACTTGGTCATCAGCAAATTACATCACTAAAAAAGGTCTTCTTTTTAAGTATTTTACTTTCATTTCTTTTTATTCCAGCATTCTATATAATAAAAGTACATTGCTATTTCTTGCAAAGTTTGTTAGTTCTTGATACTACCTGACATGACACTGATATAGACACATTTATCCCTTAATCCCTTAATCTCTGCCCTCCATACATGAAAATTTTCATTAAGACATTAACTTCCAATTTCCTTTGTGATACTTGTAAATTGTTGATTCTGATGATTTATTCCATAAACAAACACTCCACGGAGCCAAGTCTAGGGTTTCGATATCACAAAAGAGAAGTATACCCTATTTGACCTCCTCAGAAAAGCAATCACGGAATTAAATAATAGCAAATGAAGGAGAATATAATTGAGCTAATTAATTACCATTGAGTGTACATATCCAAAACAACGGTCTTATCACCGGCGGCATTAACGATTGGCCAAAATGTATCCTTATCAACCTCAGTAACCTGACCTACAACGACCGTTGGACCGGACATCTCCAGGCTCGATCTCACCTTCACCGAAGACCTCAAGTTTTTTCTGGTTTTACTATCGATCGACTTGGTTGAAGCAACGGATCGGTGAACGTCTATGCCGATGGTAAACTGTTTAGTCGGCCATGATGACAGTGATCCAGTTGACGGCGGCAGCGGAATCGGCCGGCAAACATGATGAATTTGTAACGCCATTGTAGCGATGGAGGGCGGTTATCTCGGAGTATCTGAATGCTTGGAAGGAGATGTGATGGAGCGACGATGGACTGGCGGTGACGGAACGGCGGCGATGGACCAGCGACAATGGCCCGACGACGATGGGTCGGCGCGATGTTGATTGTTGTGTATCAATTTAGGGCAAAAGAGATGTGTTGAGTCTAGGGCATAGTACTCTTTATTGGTAGTCAAAATTAGTCAACCTTGTTTATCCTTTTAAGGGAAGGGGTGTTTGGGTTGTCTAGAGGCAAAAAAATCTTTTTTGCAAAAGATAGATGGCAAAATATGTTTGGTAAAAACATTTTAAAAGTTACTTTTTGATTTTAGATAGAAGGAAAACTGATTTTTTGGAAAAGTTAGAAAATCTGACTTTTTGTAACTTTTCCAAAAAGAACTTTTGTCTCTCAAAAAGACAAGTCAAACACCTTCTAAACCAATTAATCGTGTTTACAAAAATTATCTGTATAAGTATAATTTAGTCAAAATTAGTCAAGTCTCCTTATTTAGTCAAAATATAAATACAAACGATTTTTTTAAATGTGTTTTTCTTTTTATTTTTTCGAACTTTTTCCAAATATTATAATAGTAATATGTTTGATAAGGACCGGTCAATAATGTAACCAGTCTTTGCGAAATTATGTATAAAAATAAAATAAAGCTGTAATTATTTTCAAAAATAAAAAATATTAATTAAAAATATTTCAGTTTTTATTAATTGAAAATTATAATATATATATATATATATATATATATATATATATATATATATATATATATATATATTCAGTGACCACTGTTTCATGGTCACTAATTGTTTTTTTTTTTCTTATAATTCACCAGTGACCACTATTGGGTGGTCACTAATTGTTTTTCCCCATTTAAAGAGTAGACGTGTAGTTTTAAATAAAAGCAGTCAGTAACCACTATTTTTGGTCATTAAACCTCCAATACAGTGACCACTTTTTTTGTCACTAAGCTTCTAACATATTGACCATTATTCTTAGTCACTATATAGTTAACATGGTGACAATTATTTTTAGTCACTAAATAGTTGTTATGATATGAAACAAAAATAGTTTAATTTTTTCGCGTTTTAGTGACCGAGTTAGTGACCACCACATATAATTAGTCATTAAATTTGTAGGATTACCAAAATTCAGTGACAACTTAATTTCTAGTAACTAAAAGATGCTGTCACACCCCGAAACCGTGATGGCGGAATCGTTCCGGGGTGGAGGACGTCATGCGTAGTATCACAACAATTGTATCATAACAAGCATAGTAAACACAACCAGACATTGAATACATGTGTGAAAAAGGTTTACATTGTTTAATACATAGTTTTGTTCATATCAAAAGTAAAATAGAAAGGTGCGACTCTAACGCTTCGACTTCTCCGAACTCCTGGAAGTACCTGTCTACTAATTTCCTGAGAATACAAGCAGTTTTGAAAGAATATCAGCATAAAGCTGGTGAGTTCATAAGCATTTAGTTTTTAGAGAAAAATGTTCTTTGATTCTTTTGAAAAGTATTCCTCAAGAAAATCCTATATTTTCTTATGAAAGGTAGAGTTAAAAGAGTATCTATTAGTAGAAGATAAACCATCAGCTTTTAGAAAACATGTTATCCGTCCTAGAGGTAGAGAGACCAGTTTAGAAATCCCTGAATGTTATCTGTATATATAAAAGTAGTTTTATTGCTCAAAATAAAACAAATGAAGAGTAGAGTCCGTAAACAAAATTAGTTTATACTTATTTGCGAGTCATATAACCATACTTGATATGACCGAGAGACCTTTATAACGTTCTTCAGGCGTTAAGCTAAACGGGTTTACGGTCGTAAACGAGTTTACGGCCGTAAACACGTTTACGGTCGTAACCTCACTTAGACCGGAAATGATTGATTTTTCGAGATATTCGGGTTTCCGCGTGATTTTTGGTTCCGACTTGCAAATAATTTAATTATATATAACTAGATTATTTTCAAAACCAAGAATTTTGACGGAAGAGTTAACGAATTTGAAATTTTATTAACGGAAATCGCGTAACGGAAACGGACAAAGTTTCGGGTTGTCACATCATCCCCCCGTTAGAGGGAATTTCGTCCCGAAAGTCGAACATAGAATACAAATCATGGATTAGGAAAGAGATGCAGATATTTCTGTTTCATATGATCTTCGCGCTCCCAAGTGTATTCAGGTCCCCGCTTGGCATTCCAGCGAACCTTCACTATCGGGATGCGGCTCTGCTTCGTGCGTTTGACTTCTCGGTCCATGATTTCGACAGGTTCCTCCACGAAACGTAGACTTGCGTCTAGCTCGATCTCGTCGAGGGGAGCCACAAGTGCCTCATCGGAGGGACACTTATTTGGTTCGACACAAGGAAGATGGGATGAACGCTGCTAAGTGCTCGAGGTAAATGGAGTTTGTACGCTACGGGACCGATCCTAGCAAGGATCTTGGACGATCCAACGTATTCTGGTTTTTAGCTTTCAACGCCTTGCGAAGCGTATCGGGCTTTTCCAGGGTGTGACCTGCAAAAGGACACGTCCACCTATCTGGAACTTCAATGGTTTTTGTCTCTCATCGGCGTAGCCCTTTCGCACGATCTTTTCTGCCGTCTCTCGGATGATTTCAAGACTCGTGAGAGTGCTGTCGGGGACTCGACTCTTGTCTAGTTGTGTGTCGCCCACTTCAGCCCAGCACAGATGAGGTCTGTACTTATGGCTATAGAGGGCTTCGAACGGTGCAACCTCGATACTGGGAAGGTCACCGTTATTGCAAGAAAGTTCACTTAAGGGTAGATGTGTGTCCCATCACACATCTTCAATTGTCCGGATGGTTCTCTTACTTTGTCCTTCTCTTTGCGGATGATACTCTTCGTATGAATACTTTCGGATTTTGAAGAGAGATGAATTCTTTGAAGTTCGCATCTGGTTGTTGTCACGAGCGACAGGAGTTTCGCGATCGAACAATTTAAGACAAAGGGTTTGGTATAACATAGACTCAGTCGAGCTAGACAGGATGGTGTCGTAGAATCGCGCGTCCAGTTAGTCCGGGAGGATCGTTTTGCTAGCACATTGGTGCCCCTGGGTGAATGTCTCTGGTGTTTGATGTGTTTGATTCGAAATTGGGGGGTACCACAAGTACGAGGGTTCTGATACTTCGAAATTATGAACTTTTTATGAAATGGTTCCTACTAGATCTTCATATAATCGCTTGGTGTATACAAGTCATGTATAACTACAACTGACTCTAACGTATTCACTAAGCTATCATAATTTACTTATTAGAGCTTCAAATCTTATAGGAATGTCGCGATTTAATTTGGACGAGAAAGTAATCACAGTTATGTACAATTATTGGGGTTTTCGAAAACGTACCAAAACATAGCAGGGTTCTTTAATAATTCCTCATTCTCTGAGGTCAGACTCCTCCTGCTCCCCCGTTGTTCTTCTCTGTTGGGCAGTCTCTTTTGAAATGTCCCTTTTTGCCACATACACTGCACACTTGAACTATGCTAGCATCGGTAGTGGAAGGGATATGTTGAGTCGGGGTCTTCGCGAAGCGAGCTTCCTTGTCATCCCTAGCCCTTGGACAATTTGTTTTGAAATGTCCTCCACTACCACAGAGGTAACAGGTTGGACTAGCCCCAACATTGGCATTCAGAGTGACGAACTCGACTAGGGTCCTACATCTGCTGGAGGTGTCCCCCTTCCTGTTGCATCTGGTGCAATGCAGCACTCGACAGACCCCATGATGATAGTAGTTGCATTTGCTGCAGTGCGGGAGATTTCCCAAGTAGGGTGTGGTTGGGGTTGGAACAGTAGGGCTGACTGGGGTACTGACTGTCCCAATTCGTTGCCTCTCAGTAGGTCTTTGGGTTGAACAACTCCCTTTGAACTTTCGTTTTAGGATGTTAGGTTGGAGATCAGGTGTGTCCTTTCTAGTAGGCACTTTTTGTTGAGATTGGTTAGCACCAAGATTCGGATTGCCATTCACACTTCCACCTACATTTGTGTTGTTAGCGTTAAGAACAGCTAGGGCGGCTGCTACAGCTGCTGTGACAGTAGCTTGGAACGTAGCTGAGTCCATCTGGAGGATTGGTGTCTTACTGGTGGGTTGGTTACGTTTCTTCGGAGGCATGATCTGCTACATGTCAAGAAAAGAAGATTGTGAGCAACAATGGTTGCCCCTGGATATATCCTAAATGTTTATCTATGCGTTGAGATTTCCCGTTTTGCTATCGGACTCTCAGTGATTCGACCCACATCCCCATGATGTGGTCTTAGCTATGATAGAAAAGATTTGAGCACACAAAGTTCACATACAATAAGTTTACGAACTCCTGGTTGCTCAGCTCATCGGACTGGCTGAGTAACTCTCACATTTTTGTCGGCTCTTGACGATATGGAGATTTGGCTATAAGGGTAGTCCCGAGGATCAAGTCGATACGGGATTCAACTTGGCACTCGGAAGAAATCCATGGAATGTCTTTGGGGAAGACATCGGGAAAGTTGCAGACTTCGAAGATGCTCTCGAGGTTTTAACTTCTTGCGTCTCATTGTCAACATGAGCCAGGAATGCATAGCATTCCTTCCGCAGATGCTCCTAGGCTTGACGCAGGAAATGATACGAAGGTTCGAAAAATCTTATCACTAAGACCAGTGAGGATTTCGTTGAAGGGACGAATCGCTTCCTCGAAGCAAAGGATATCTGCACGATTTGAGGCTTAACCAATTCGTGTCGATTAGGATATCGAAGCTGATACGAAATTGATGGGGAAAGGAATAATCGTCTAAGTACATCTTATGATTCACGTTTTGAGGACAAAACAGTGATGGGACCTTGATAAAGTTGCTTACTTTTCATGCTATCAATCTAAGGTACACTTTTGACAATGAAAATCTTTAACTGGAATATGATAGTTGCCACCATTGTCGATATCAAGATTACACAGAGTTTGAAAAAATTTTGACCTAGGAGTAGGTCTACCACATACCAACAGAGGAACAATTTGACAACATAAAGAACTAGCAAATCGGTACTTGCAAGGCAAGAATGTCTACAGAGGAAGGAGCTACTTGGAACATAAATAGGAAAGCTATTCTTTAGACAAAAAGGAAAGACAAGTAGAATATTTCCTACTGGCGACGGGCACTTCTCTGGCGGAACCTTAGGTTA